CGTCAACGACAAGCACTCCATTCAGCATCTGACCAATTTGCTTTGTATTTGTATCTGGATATTTTGAACGAAATCAGTGTATTAGAAGTTTGTCACAATTCAGTTACAAGATTTACCACAAACCCACAAAAATCAACCAAACCAACACCCAAAGAAACAAATAGACTTTGAGAACTAAATAAAACCTCATAAAAATAAAGTTAAATAAAACATTCACTGGGGGTTAAACCGCTGAAATACATTTACGTTTCTGGTACATTTCTTTGAGATGATAAAAGCTTATTATAATATTTGTTTTGAAAGTTTTCGCTAGTTTATTTAAAGTCAGACTGTTGTCTGTTATTTTTTTACTTCATAGTTTGGATACGAGAATGGAATAAGCAGACGGACGTCATACGTCATCATCGCCTGCTGTCAGGTGTTCACCCTCATCTCCAGCTTGTTCTTTTATCCCAAGGATTTTATCCGCAAACAACAGCAGGACCACGTGATTGGTGAGTGACCTTTATATTACTAGGACCTAGTTGTTAATGGATGACTTTTATAATCAGTAACACGGTTTGTTACAGGTGTGACATATAGATGTAAAGTGTGTTGTTGAATGTGGCTGGTCTGTCATAATATCGTTTATGGTTGTGACGTGTCTGCTGTAAAGTCTATTGTGGACGCTACTTATCTGTGAAAATGTCTGACGCCCAAATAAACACTCCTCGTATGCCCATGTTATTCTTTATTGCCTTCTGCATCCAGTAGTTGAAATAAACTTATAGCATAACTTTGTACTGGAGTAAAAAATATTACACTAGTTCGGTAAAAATAAAATAACTTTAATAAATGTCTCCAAGTAAAGGGTAATACTTAGAAATGCCATACCTACGGGCTAACAGCTTACAATAAACTTTATAGAATTGGCTTCAGAAAGATACATTTCGAGATATTTGATTGAGATGATTTGTAGGTAACATTAAAATAAAATTAAAACCATCTGAAGGGTTAGCATTTCGTAGGGCTGTGAGTTCATTTGGTTTTGTCTGACCATTACAGCGAACAACATGGTATCGCTAGAACAAGGGCTGTCACATAGCCCCAACATGCGAACCAAACTTTGGGCTTCCTGTTACTATTCACACTGTCTATCGTTCGACCACTATAAGTTCATAATGTGAGTGTCATTATACCTATTACAGCATCAGAGGTCAAACTAGACAATACAGGATCAGAGACCGGCAAAGTGCAACAGACGGAAACAGATAAGAAGTTGGAGCAACAAACTAGAAAAAACACAAACACAGATATAGAACTGAAAGAACATGAAGGTTCTGGAACATTTCGTGGATTGCTGAGACACGTCCTGACCTTGACATTTATACTGCACGTGCTTTGGGCGTCTTGTCTTCAACTTCGATTTTACTTCGTGCTGGGGTCGATCAACACCAGTCTACAGAAGATGGTCAGTTCACAGTCTGAAGGTGAGTGGTCAACACCAGTCTACAGAAGATGGTCAGTACACAGTCTGAAGGTGAGTGGTCAACAGTCTACAGAAGATGGTCAGTTCACAGTCTGAAGGTGAGTGGTCAACAGTCTACAGAAGATGGTCAGTTCACAGTCTGAAGGTGAGTGGTCAACAGTCTACAGAAGATGGTCAGTTCACAGTCTGAAGGTGAGTGGTCAGTACACAGTCTGAAGGTAAGTGGTCAACACCAGTCCACAGGATGCATGTAAGTAGCTTAGTTCAGTTTCCTAGCCTGGAAAATTTGATGTACAAAGTTGAAGGTCGTAGCCTGTTAAAGGACGTTACCTTTAGAAGCTTGTCAGTACACTATATGAAGGTAGCCAGTTAAGTCGTGTCTCCCTAATGAAGGTTTAAGTTCGAACAAATATTATGACCAATTTAATATAAATTTTTCTAAATTATTGTTTAGATATTTTTTTTTTACATTTTGTTTAGCAAAAATCTGGAGTTTCGTTTCTAAAGCTAGTTTATCTTTTCTAGTTAACATTTGCCATTTGTTTTTTACTTTTGTTTACGAAATAAACCAATTGTTATATTTGTACCTTCTGATAAATATCACCAGTTTCCGACTACATCATCGTCATATACACAATATCTCATTCCCAAATGGCGATCACACAATCAAATTCATGTACACAATACCTCCCTCCCCAGTACACCACTCCACTAGACTCATGTACACAATATCTCCCTCCCCAGTCAGCTACTAGACTAAATTCATGTACACAATATCTCCCTCCCCAGTCAGCTACTAGACTAAATTCATGTACACAGTACACAATATCTCCCTCCCCAGTCAGCTACTAGACTAAATTCATGTACACAATATCTCCCTCCCCAGTCAGCTACTAGACTAAATTCATGTACACAATACCTCCCTCCCCAGTACACCACTCCACTAGACTAAATTCATGTACACAATATCTCCCTCCCCAGTCAGCTACTAGACTAAATTCATGTACACAATACCTCCCTCCCCAGTACACCACTCCACTAGACTAAATTCATGTACACAATATCTCCCTCCCCAGTCAGCTACTAGACTAAATTCATGTACACAATATCTCCCTCCTCAGTCAGCCACTACACCAACGTGATGTTGTACACAATGATGACTGGCATCTTCGTCTCCCCCATCGTTGGATTCTTCTACTCCTGGCAGACCAAAATCTTTGCCAGTAAGTTTTTGGTCTTGACCCACTTCAGACTTATTACTTATTGGACTCGTTTAAAATTGTGCAGTATAACCAGTTTAAAAATCTCAAAACTAATTAAAAATAGTTTTGTGCTTTGGTTGTATGTAAATAACAAGTTAAATGTTTTTGCCCAAAATTTTGATGAAATCATAGATGATTTATTGTGTACCATTTATGACACTCGCAATAAGACGTGACACAAACGACATACATGATGACATGAACGACAGTGGCATGAACTAACCCCTGCACCCCAGACAGCCTATCCAGCGTACGACGCCAAGTGATGCCGTCAGTGCTCCCCCTAGCGACGACCACCGTGTTCAGCGTCATCATGTCCAGTCTCCTGCTGGTCAACGACCCACGGGTCCTGTACGCCTTCTTTGTCTTCCTGGTGCTACAGCGGTCATTTCTATTCACTATGTACACCGCCTACATCGCTGCCATGTAAGTTGGGGTCGTTTTGATACAAGCCAGTCCACAGCCATCGCTAATCTCTAAATCATCCATTAATGTCGTCCATCATCCATCAATGCTGTCCATCCTCCATCAACGTCGTCCATCATTTACCATTGTGTCACCAGTTTCCCTAGCTGTTACCTGGGCAGTCTGCTTGGGATCGCCATTTTCACCGCTGGGGTCATCTCATTCTTCCAGTACGCACTCTTTGCTTGGCTGGAGACTGGCGGACTTTTACAGGTACAGTAGAGTTAATCTAAAATACAATCATTCTCAATTCAATTACAATACACATCGCCATTATGAACGTATTAATATAAATAATATTTTGAAGATTTTTATTGTCAGAACTTAAATACACAAGGCAGGGATTTCGTCAAAGCTACGGGACGAATACCAGCGTCACAGACAAAAAATTTAGTATATTTAGCACAAGTCTAGAACTCGTGAATAGAATTAGCGCGAAAATACCAATAGTTTTGTAGACCTTAAATAGAGGGTAGAAATTGACAGCAAGTGATCACCTCTTTATGGGAGATGATATAAATTTAAACATATATATATATATAAATATATATATATATATATATATATATATATATATATATATATATATATATATATATATATATATATATATATATATATATATATATATGTATATATGCATATAATGTATAGAATAATATAATATGTATGTAATGCAAATATCATAAATATCAATAACATATAATTTTACAAAAGATTCTTTCAAGGGAAGAAAAAAAACATTTTGTGGTTTTAATTTAATTATTTTACTACTCCCCCTGAATATGTATTTTTATTTTTAGACAATCTTTTCAACATAACGGTTATTATATAACATTTTATAATAGCTACATTTAACGTAATAGCCCTATAATAATGTGCTTGTACTAGATTGGTTATATTTTTAGGTGTCAACATACATTTCTACTGAGTTCATCATATTATGTAGTTGCAAGATGCAATAATTAGAAAAAAATAATAATATAATCACGTGTTTAATGGTTTACAATTGTTACCACCAAAGTTCACTTTCAGACCACATGGTCTATGGGAAGGTGAAATATCAAAACTATCATAAAGACAATTAATTAGATCAAATTATTATCAACATTGTTGCTAGTAGATATATGACATAATGACCGGTCACGTGATGTTGCAGGTAAACATCTTCCTGTTGGTGCTGGCGTGTGTCACATTAGTTCATCCCCTGTACCAGTGGTGGGCGTGTCGACGGGCGGAAGTCAGGCAACTCGTGGATTTGAACCAGCAGACGACAGGACAGGAGTAGGGGGAGTGAACCAGGTGCCACACTAAGGCCTGGAGTCACACTAAGGCCTGGAGTCACACTAAGGCCTGGAGTCACACTAAGGCCTGGAGTCACACTAAGGCCTGGAGTCACACTAAGGCCTGGAGTCACACTAAGGCCTGGAGTCACACTAAGGCCTGGAGTCACACTAAGGCCTGGAGCCACACTGAGGTGAGGCCTGGAGTCACACTAAGGCCTGGAGTCACACTAAGGCCTGGAGTCACACTAAGGCCTGGAGTCACACTAAGGCCTGGAGCCACACTGAGGTGAGGCCTGGAGTCACACTAAGGCCTGGAGTCACACTAAGGCCTGGAGTCACACTAAGGCCTGGAGTCACACTAAGGCCTGGAGTCACACTAAGGCCTGGAGTCACACTAGGTCCTGGAGTCACACTAAGGCCTGGAGTCACACTAAGGCCTGGAGTCACACTAGGTCCTGGTCGCTATAGAGCCTATGCGTCAATCTAAGGACTGGATACAGTTTACAAAAGAGTCCACTTACATTTACGCTCATCTGTAGATGACGCCTTAGTAAAACCTGTTAGCTGCATGTTCCAGCTAGTTAGAACACATCACGGGGTTGTGGGGGCCGGTCAATCCATGCCAATAGCCTGGCAGAGGTCTTAAAATCCAAAAATGGTAGAAGAAAGGCCTCCATATAAAAGACGAAAGGCAAACTTGAGACTTACACCCCAAAACAAAAGTAAACATTGCAAAGATCTGTGGTTGACATAAGCAGCAGATGTAAAGATGCTCAAGTTGACTGACATTGCGACAGAAAGGTGCCTGAGATTATATGCCGAGATGTAATAACATGGCTAGTCGTTTAAAAGTTAGATACTTACATAAAATAAAATTGATCATGAAAATACTGTTAACAGTTTCAAGTTTGTAGTTTCTGTAAGTTGAGAATATATATAATGCTTTTAGCTGGATGTTGTTTAAAATTTTATTGGAATGAATCTGTTTATCACGGCTGTTACAGCGTCCACCCTACATGGCCATCTTGTAGCCACACTGAGGCCTGGAGCCACACTGAGGCCTGGAGCCACACTGAGGCCTGGAGTCACACTGAGTCCTGGAGCCACACTGAGGTGAGGCCTGGAGTCACACTGAGTCCTGGAGCCACACTGAGTCCTGGAGCCACACTGAGGTGAGGCCTGGAGCCACACTGAGGCCTGGAGCCACACTGAGGCCTGGAGCCACACTGAGGTGAGGCCTGGAGCCACACTGAGGTGAGGCCTGGAGCCACACTGAGGTGAGGCCTGGAGCCACACTGAGGCCTGGAGCCACACTGAGGTGAGGCCTGGAGTCACACTGAGGCCTGGAGCCACACTGAGTCCTGGAGCCACACTGAGGTGAGGCCTGGAGCCACACTGAGGCCTGGAGCCACACTGAGGCCTGGAGCCACACTGAGGTGAGGCCTGGAGCCACACTGAGGTGAGGCCTGGAGCCACACTGAGGCCTGGAGCCACACTGAGGTGAGGCCTGGAGCCACACTGAGGTGAGGCCTGGAGCCACACTGAGGTGAGGCCTGGAGCCACACTGAGGCCTGGAGCCACACTGAGGTGAGGCCTGGAGTCACACTGAGGCCTGGAGCCACACTGAGGTGAGGCCTGGAGCCACACTGAGGTGAGGCCTGGAGCCACACTGAGGTGAGGCCTGAAGCCACACTGAGGCCTGGAGCCACACTGAGGCCTGGAGCCACACTGAGGCCTGGAGCCACACTGAGGTGAGGCCTGGAGCCACACTGAGGTGAGGCCTGGAGCCACACTGAGACCTGGAGCCACACTGAGGCCAGGAGCCACACTGAGGTGAGGCCTGGAGCCACACTGAGGCCTGGGGCCACACTGAGGCCTGGAGCCACACTGGTCAACAGAAATTGCTCAAAATTTTAAAGAAGGCGGAGAATTAGATCTTTTACTTACCTGTGAAATTTCAATTATGTATCTGAAATAGTACTCAAGTTATAGGCTTTGAAAAATTAAATTGAAAGTAGAATAAGTTCCACTACCGGTTACCAGAAATTGCTGAAAAGTTAATACAGAACTACACATTTGATAACAATACTTATATTTGAAATTTCATCAACCTAGCTGTAACGGTACTCAAGTTATCGTGTTCACAGACACACATACACAGAGACATACGGACAGAATTGCAAAGCCCAGTCCTTCCGACTCGATTTCGCATAAAACGCCAACATTTTGATAAATCTGGATTTATTATTTTCGCCCGATTAAATTAAGTCCCCTATACTATATATGATGAAGTACTGAGGTGTAAAACGATGAAAACTGTCAAAATTTCATGTGATTTTTGTTCACGATTACAATGCTTCCCCTATACTCTGTATATCAGAAAGTAAAAAATCTCAAAACGAATTAAAAATAGTCTGTTTTTAGATTTGTGTAAATAACAAGTTCAATGTTTTTGCCCAAAATTTTGATAAAAACAAACATGCTTCATCTGGTACCATTACTGGACACTCAAAATAAGACGTTGTTACGCTTATGGCGTGCAGTGAGAGGGTTTGAGTCACTTGACTCAGTCAACTACCATTTCACTCGTCTCCAATACCAGGGAGAGAGTATTAAACCTTGAGAACCACTAAGGTTGTCTTACATTCAGACAAATCAACGACGTTTAGAAATAAGATGAACTAAATACTTCTTGTACGAACTTTTATTACTGTATTCACGCATCTATCTTCCTAGAACCTATCTCTCGACTTGAGTCATGCCAACCAGCACACGTCCTTTCACACCTACGATCAAGATTAGACTCACTCACACATAAACTCATAGCAACCAAAAATATACACAATTACGTCACTAACTTTCAATCTTGTCATCATACCAATGCGATCACTATGGTATTCGCACCAAACTGCACTCAAGTCCATATCTACGAAAACATACATCATAACAGACGTGACACAAATAACATACATGATGACATAAACGACAGACGCATGAATTAACCCCTGCACCTCCCAGACAGCGTATCCAGCGTACGACGTCAGGTGATGCCGTCAGTGCTCCCCCTAGCGGCGACCACCGTGTCCAGCGTCATCATGTCCAGTCTCCTGCTGGTCAACGACCCCCGGGTGCTGTACGCCTTCTTCGTCTTCCTGGTGCTACAACGGTCATTTCTATTCACTATGTACACCGCCTACATCGCTGCCATGTAAGTTGGGATCGTTTTTGATACAAGCCATTCCACAGCCCTCGCCAAACTCTGAATCTCCGTCAATGTTTTTAATCATCTATCTTTGTTGTTCAACATATGCCATTGTTGTCCATGATATATTTGTTGTTCATCGTCTTCCAATGTTGTCCATCCTCCATCAACGTCGTTCATCATTTACCATTGTGTCACCAGCTTCCCTAGCTGTTACCTAGGCAGCTTGCTTGGGATCGCCATCTTCACCTCTGGGGTCATCTCATTCTTCCAGTACGCCCTCTTTGCTTGGCTGGAGACTGGTGGACTTTTACAGGTACAGCAGAGTTCATCTGAAATACAATCATTTTCAATTCAATTACAATAGACATCGCCATTATGAACGTATTAATATAAATAATATTTTGAAGATTTTTATTGTCAGAATTTAAATTCACAAGGCATGGATTTCCTCAAAGCTTCCGGACGAATACCGTGACCACAGACAAAAAATGTATTATATTTAGCACACGTCTATAACTCGTGAAGATAAATTAGCGCGAAAATACCTATAGTTTTGTAGACCTTAAACAGATGGTAAAAATTGACAGCAAGTGATCACCTCTTTATGGGAGATGATATAAGTTTAAACATATATATATATATATATATATATATATATATATATATATATATATATATATATATATATATATATATATATATATATATATATATATATATATATATATATATATATATATATATATATATGCATATAATGTATATAAAAATATAATATGTATGTAATGCAAATATCATAAAAATCAATAAAATATAATTTTACAAAAGATTCTTTCAAGGGAAGCAAAAAAAATTTGTAGTTTTAATTTAATTATTTTACTACTTCCCCTGAATATGTATTTTTATTTTTAGACAATCTTTTCAACATAACGGTTATTATATAACATTTTATAATAGCTACATTTAACGTAATAGCCCTATAATAATGTGCTTGTACTAGATTGGTTATATTTTTAGGTGTCAACATACATTTATACTGAGTTTATCATATTATGTAGTTGCAAGATGCAATAATCAGAAAAAATAATAATATAATTACGTGTTTAATGGTTTTCAATTGTTATCACCAAAGTTCACTTTCAAACCAGATGGTCTATGTGAATGTGAAGTAGAGCTTATTTATTTCTCTAACTATAAAAAAGACAATTAATGAGATCAAACTAAACTGAGCATTCTTGACATTTGATATTATACCGACACATTAACCAGCCACATTATGTTGCAGGTGAACATCTTCCTGTTGGTGCTGGCGTGTGTCACATTAGTTCATCCCCTGTACCAGTGGTGGGCGTGTCGGCAGGCGGAAGTCAGACAACTCGTGGATTTGAACCAGCAGACGACAGGACAGGAGTAGGGGGAGTGAACCAGGTGCCACACTAAGGCCTGGAGTCACACTAAGGCCTGGAGTCACACTAAGGCCTGGAGTCACACTAAGGCCTGGAGTCACACTAAGGCCTGGAGTCACACTAAGGCCTGGAGTCACACTAAGGCCTGGAGTCACACTAAGGCCTGGAGTCACACTAAGGCCTGGAGTCACACTAAGGCCTGGAGTCACACTAAGGCCTGGAGTCACACTAAGGCCTGGAGTCACACTAAGGCCTGGAGCCACACTAGGTCCTGGAGTCACACTAAGGCCTGGAGTCACACTAAGGCCTGGAGTCACACTAGGTCCTGGAGTCACACTAAGGCCTGGAGTCACACTAAGGCCTGGAGTCACACTAGGTCCTGGAGTCACACTAAGGCCTGGAGTCACACTAAGGCCTGGAGTCACACTAGGTCCTGGTCGCTATAGAGCCTATGCGTCAATCTAAGGACTGGATACAGTTTACAAAAGAGTCCACTTACATTTACGCTCATCTGTAGATGACGCCTTAGTAAAACCTGTTAGCTGCATGTTCCAGCTAGTTAGAACACATCACGGGGTTGTGGGGGCCGGTCAATCCATGTCAATAGCCTGGCAGAGGTCTTAAAATCCAAAAATAGTAGAAGATAGGCCTCCATATAAAAGACGAAAGGCAAACTTGAGAATTACACCCCAAAACAAAAGTAAACATTGGAAAGATCTGTGGTTGACATAAGCAGCAGATGTAAAGATGCTCAAGTTGACTGACATTGCGACAGAAAGGTGCCTGAGATTATATGCCGAGATGTAATGACATGGCTAGTCGTTTAAAAGTTAGATACTTACATAAAATAAAATTGATCATGGAAATATTGTTAACAGTTTCAAGTTTGTAGTTTCTGTAAGTTGAGAATATATATAATGCTTTTAGCTGGATGTTGCTTAAAATTGTATTTCAATTAATCTGTTTATCACGGCTGTTACAGCGTCCATCCTACATGGCCATCTTGTAGTCCACAGCAATTCAATCAGTTTCTTTACATTTTCTTACAGTCGAAGCTAATTCAGCTCACCTATTTTAACTTCGGCCAAGAAATTTGAGGAAAGAGATAAATATAAACCAAATGCCAAATCAACTACTCTCATCAACTGGTCCCGATATACCACTTGCAAATATTCTATTAAATGTAAGCACAGCCCCCCCCCCCCCCCACCAAAGTTAGAATTACTAAGGGATATAAATAAAAAGTATGAAAAATGGGAAAACAGTCGTCCCGGACAGCATTCTAACAGAAGCACTCAAACCAAACCCAGCCACATCCGCAGATATATTACAACCTTTGTTAAAGCAGATTGGGCAAGATGAGATAATCTCATCTGTCTGGAAAATATGCTACCTATTAAGTGCTAACAAGTACCCGGAGCACCCCTGGCCTTCACGTGAGCAATATGGTGCCTACGTTCATTTTAAGAATGACACCCACTATGTAACACTAGGCAATACTAAACAGCCTACAGCCACATTCGGAAAAGACCATAGTTGAAGAAAAGACAGGCTTTAGACAGCGACGCAGAACAAATAAGCTAATTATTAAAATTATGTTACTTTGCTAAAAATACCTTCAGCACCAGTACTATGTTTACCGCTTTGTTATAGACTTAAAGAAACACAATGGCATAATGGACTGTGGGCTACCATGCACAGATACATTATCAGCGTAAACCTCACAGAACTTTTCCAAACATTTGTATTAGAGAGTAACCAGCGCAGTAGTTTTTAACATCACTATAGGCGGGTGGCTTAGAACAACTATATGCTCAATGGAAAAAAATCAACTGTGGTGCCCCCACAACCCCTAGTATTAAAGGATGATTGATTGATTGAATGATACAATTGGAAAGGCGAGCTACTATTATCGTTCACTAAATGAAATCAGGCGCGGTCTAGTGACCCGGTGCGTTCCGGGATCACACCGTGAGCATTATAGCCAGTGTTTCTTCCAGACATTTTTCTCCGGGGGGGAGGGGCACTTGAAATTTTCGGGGGGGGGAGGGGCGGTAGACTTTCTTCGGGGGGGGGGGGGGGCGGACACTGTTAAAAGTATATATTTTCTATAGAAATTATATAAATTTCATTTCGTTCGGGGGGGGGGGGGGGCGGTAAAAAAATTTCGGGGGGGCTTTGCCCCCCCCCCCCCCCGAAGAGATGCCTGGAAGAAACTCTGATTATGGCACCTACGTTCGTTTTAAAGAATGTCATACAATATGGAGAGTGTAGGCTATTATAATCGTTGACTAAATCAAATCAGGTGCGTCCACCTTCTGCCCTGCGTTCAGGTGACTAGGTGCACCCAACTATGGCGCCTACATTTGTTTCAAAAAGCCCCCTACAATAGGAACACGGTGGGCCACTATAATCGATGCAAACGGTGGCTTTCCAGAGCTCCACGTGACGACCCTAACACCTGGGCGGTCCCCGAGGTTTGTTCTGCTTCACAATTACTGAGGGTAATTAACGTACACACAAAGAGTTTATACATCACGCCCAAGGACGTTGGACGATTTGAAGACAAACCCGCGCCCCAACAACTAAGAGCCGGCGCTTTTTTACACAAACATAAACTCAGTTTTAGAAAGATCATACATCTAAAAGTATAACATTGGAAACGCGTTGATGAAAAAAAAATGTTTCACAGTGATGCAATGGATTCCTGCCTACTTATAAAACAAAATTTAAAAAGAAGCTACTACTGCTAGATCTTTGGACTAGAGTAAAATAGGCAAAGCGTGACTCTACACGGCTCAGTAGCTCGGTAATGTGAGGTTATGTGAGGTAACTGGTGTGTGTTTCAGTTCTCGCGTTAAGTTAGTCATCATACAACAGGCCGCGGGCAAACAGCGATTGAAAAATCATGTTTTTCAACACAAAGCTGAGATTCCTGTACGCAATATGGGCTTTCTTAGAATGTTTGGGATTTTATGGGCTTATAGAAGGGTGGGGTTCTTTGGTCTATGTTTTAAAAGATGAGGGCATTTACTCAGATTTGTGTGGAGACCACCCCGAAAATAGCTCTACAGTTTCAAATGATACAAAGTAAGTGAACTTTATTATTTCTGGGTGCATTTAATTTAGTTTAAAAAAATACTATGCATTGAAGATGTAAATTCTCCAAAGTAGCTCTAAACTCTCTGGAAATAATACTTACGAGTATACCTCGCTTTAATATTTATCTCAAAAGCATGAATAAAATGCCACCAATATAACAATATAAGTGTATTATGTATGAGATGTAGCGGTAAATAATTGAAAGTTTTCCAAAAAAAACTGTTTCTAACCACAGTGGCGTAGCCAGGATCGTCTCAAGGGGGGGGGGTCCAATTTTCACCCGGGGACAAACTTTCGATTTGCATTCCCCTCATACTTTTTATATATATACCGAGGGGTCTATGGGGGGTTATGACCCCCCCCCCCAACCCCCCTGCCTACGCCACTGTCTAAACATAAAAAGTAAAGAATTTACATACAGTTTGGAGATTTTTAAACCAACATCATTCGCAGACGCCATAAACACTCTTTATTAAGAAGTTACATCAACTTAAAAAAAACGTTTTTTTTTTTAAAATTACAAGCGTTTATTTAGGTCGCAACGTCTGTTTGTTTGTGGGTTTGCGGAAAATTTTGTAACTCAATTTTGACCCACTTCTAATGCAGCGATTTCATTCAAAAACTTTTCAGATACGTTACACTTCAATGACAATACACGTCTATCTATGTTTAATTTAATTAGAAGTTTAATTAGTACGTAAAATTTATTAAACGGTTTCAAAACTTAGGGGAAATAAAACCACTCGATTGATTACTATATTCAATAACAGAAGGGGAGATAACTAGCTAACGCCATCACCCGACCAGGCTGGTGAGCTGTGATTCACGCCAAATGTTTACAATCGTAGAGCCGGGGCGAATTAGTGAAGGCTATTAGGTGCAGATAATAAACTTTTTAAACAAAGATAAAACAACAAAAAACAAAAGAATATATTTTTCAATACGAATTTTAAATTTTCTTGAGTAACTCCGAAAGCAATGTTTTAAAAAAAATGCTCAACGCACTGTATTAGGCGTGTTCGCTAAACTTAAAACATAATCAACAGTATTTTACATTCAGCAGAAATGATACAGAAGGCGCTAACAAAAGTAGCGGCTGTCTTGAACAGGACTCGAAGCTGGCTTCCATCTTCACGGTCGCCTCATCACTGTACTGCTTATTCAACATGTTGTTGGGACAGGTTTCCTTCAAGTTTGGGGCACGGATTACCCGCCTTATTGCCGTGTAAATTTTAAATTATTTGTGTGCATGAACTTGTCTGCTTTTACAAAAAATTTCTTTGAGTTTATGACAAAATCTTAAAACTTAATTAGACCCCCGTGTCCTTTTTCAGGCAAATTAATCTCCGTTCACTGTTCGAGAATATTTTGAGAAAAATTATGTATTAAACATGCATCGATACAGTGTGAAAAACAATTTAAAACTAATGTTTGTAGAACAGAACAGAACAAAAACACAATAGAAATTATAAAAAAAAAACTCAACAAAACCTTCAAAAAAAAAAATAATTCCCGGAACATAACAGGAATAAACATAGAAATAAGGAAAGGATAAAAATGTTTGGTTATCATATAAAAACAGATTTAAAGAAGAACACGAGAAAACTAACAAAAAAAAAAACAACAATAGAAAATCAAAAGAACATAATAGAATGGCACGGAACTGTAAAGATATTAAAGAAAGAGCATGGCTAAAGATAAAGATGTGGAACAGACATATGGTATTTCTGCACAGGAGCAAACCACACTACTCACCATTCACCAATGTATACTTGGCGCTAAAATGTAAAGAGTATTTGTTTAGAGAATAAAATAGAATACATGTAGAAATAAACCGGGAGTGATCTCCCCTAAACGTTCTCAAATATTCTAATATAACTTACCTATCAAATTTCATTTATCTATCTAAAATAGTACTCAAGTTATAGGCTTTTGAAAAATTCAAAGTAGAAAAAGTACTACTTCGGGTTATCGGAAATCGCTCAAAAGTTGATCAGGATCTACGATTTTGATAAAATACTTATATATGAAATTTCATCAACCTAACTGTAACGGTACTCAAGTTATCGTGTTTACACACACACAGACACACACACAGACTCACAGACACACAGACAAACAGACAAGATTTTAAAATTATGTTTTCAGTATCAGTGAGATTTTTTTTTTTTGCACGATTACAAGACTTTCTCTATACTTCGTATATACGAGAAAGTAAAAAAGAACAGAACAAAAGATAACGTCAAATAACACAAAGAAGAACTGTGTGGAAAAGAACAAGTAGGCTACAACCCGCTAATGCCTGAGGTTTCACAAATACTTTTATTGACACATAAATTTTTTATTTCTTTAATCGGTTCAGCACACACTCCCAATTGCTCTACATACCCGACTTCCCCGTTTTTTGGCCGAGGTCACACTGCACACGAAAACATTCAACGACCTTTAACCGAGAAAAAGTGCTCGACATGTTTTGTGCCTAGTGACATTCATGCATGAATGATTGGTTTAGAATAGTTGGCGGTTACGTTTTAGTGTGTCTGCTTTAAAAAGTAATGAATGGACTATGCTTCACACACCAATACACCAATACACTTAGACGTATGGGTTAAAAATGAGATTGACATGATATTTCTTAATTTTATTATATAAGATATCATGTCATCTCCCCCCCCCCCCACCCCCCTACCCCCTCATCAAGTAGGTTCAGTAAAGTGTAGAGAGATATCTTCAACATTAAATCTCCCTAAATGATCGGTATTTTAACATTCCCGCTTACATAAAAAAAAGTGCGTTCACCAAAGACTATTTTTTTCCCACGTTTTCTTTAACTTGCTTTCTCTGTTTGTGTGTTTGTCTTTCCAATCAAATCTTGCGATCGAAATTTCTGGCACTTCCCAGTTAGCTAGCGCGCTGAAATTTTCAGGGAAGCTTTCTTTTGGATGACCATTGAATATTCAATTGTTATTATTACTAAATTGATCAATGGAAACATTTTATTGAGCATTTTAGACCGCTATATAATCTATATATATAATTCTCCTCTGCTAGCCATTAGAAAAAAAACCAGCGACGCGTACCTCGCGCGCAGTGAAGCGAACGATCACATGTCGCCACAGGCTTAGGGGCAGAGAATTTAGCTTGAACCGAGTTTAAACTTACAGGAGGTAGACCAGTTTGGGGGAGACGATATGGTCGAGTGGTTGGGCACACGATTGCTATCCCACTCGACACGGGTTCAAATCTATGTGTTCTAGTCAGTAACGTATCAAACAACGTGTTTTTTACGAGTTGTCTTTTTACGAGTTGTCTTTTTACGAGTTGTCTTTTTACGAGTTGTCTTTTTACGAGTTGTCTTTTTACGAGTTGTCTTCGTTTACCCAAAAAAAGTGAAAAGATAAAATCGATAGCAAGATTTTAATGCAAACAAACAGACAAAGACTAAAAAGTAGAAAATAATAATCATTAAAAAAGTTTTAAAAAACCCACGTTTTCTGATTGAACTAAAAAGTAGAAAATAAATGCTATAGGCCCTACATCACAATAATGCAAGCGATCACTCTACTATAAGCGAGCAAAAACGTGGGGCGCCGTGATTTTCTTACAGTTTCTAATACTGTTGACTCTCTACAAGCTCCCTAATAAAAGTCAATAGTATTATCTAATCAATAGTAATATAACTTTTACTTCGGCGCCCCACGTTTTTCATCGCTTATAGTAGAGTGATCGCTTGCATTATTGTGATGTAGGGCCTATAGCATTTATTTTCTACTTTTTAGTTCAATCAGAAAACGTGGGTTTTTTAAAACTTTTTTAATGATTATTATTAAAAAGTTAGCTTGAGACAATTTGCAAGAGGGTAGATGTTTGAGTTTTTGTATATTGGATAAGTGAGTTTTTGGGTGTTTGATGTGTGCATTTGCGGGTGGGGGATGTGTGAGTTTGTGGGTGGAGGATGTGTGAGTTTGTGGGTGGAGGATGTGTGAGTTTGTGGGTGGAGGATGTGTGAGTTTGTGGGTGGAGGATGTGTGAGTTTGTGGGTGGGGGATGTATGAGTTTGTGGGTGGAGGATGTGTGAGTTTGTGGGTGGAGGATGTGTGAGTTTGTGGGTGGAGGATGTGTGAGTTTGTGGGTGGAGGATGTGTGAGTTTGTGGGTGGGGGGTGTATGAGTTTGTGGGTGGAGGATGTGTGAGTTTGTGGGTGGAGGATGTGTGAGTTTGTGGGTGGAGGATGTGTGAGTTTGTGGGTGGGGGATGTGTGAGTTTGTGGGTGGGGGATGTGTGAGTTTGTGGGTGGGGGATGTGTGAGTTTGTGGGTGGAGGATGTGTGAGTTTGTGGGTGGAGGATGTGTGAGTTTGTGGGTGGAGGATGTGTGAGTTTGTGGGTGGGGGGTGTGTGAGTTTGTGGGTGGAGGATGTGTGAGTTTGTGGGTGGAGGATGTGTGAGTTTGTGGGTGGGGGGTGTATGAGTTTGTGGGTGGAGGATGTGTGAGTTTGTGGGTGGGGGATGTGTGAGTTTGTGGGTGGGGGATGTATGAGTTTGTGGGTGGGGGATGTATGAGTTTGTGGGTGGGGGATGTATGAGTTTGTGGGTGGAGGATGTGTGAGTTTGTGGGTGGGGGATGTATGAGTTTGTGGGTGGGGGATGTATGAGTTTGTGGGTGGGGGATGTATGAGTTTGTGGGTGGAGGATGTGTGAGTTTGTGGGTGGGGGATGTATGAGTTTGTGGGTGGAGGATGTGTGAGTTTGTGGGTGGAGGATGTGTGAGTTTGTGGGTGGAGGATGTGTGAGTTTGTGGGTGGAGGATGTGTGAGTTTGTGGGTGGAGGATGTGTGAGTTTGTGGGTGGAGGATGTGTGAGTTTGTGGGTGGAGGATGTGTGAGTTTGTGGGTGGGGGGTGTATGAGTTTGTGGGTGGAGGATGTGTGAGTTTGTGGGTGGAGGATGTGTGAGTTTGTGGGTGGAGGATGTGTGAGTTTGTGGGTGGAGGATGTGTGAGTTTGTGGGTGGAGGATGTGTGAGTTTGTGGGTGGAGGATGTGTGAGTTTGTGGGTGGAGGATGTGTGAGTTTGTGGGTGGAGGATGTGTGAGTTTGTGGGTGGAGGATGTGTGAGTTTGTGGGTGGGGGATGTGTGAGTTTGTGGGTGGAGGATGTGTGAGTTTGTGGGTGGAGGATGTGTGAGTTTGTGGGTGGAGGATGTGTGAGTTTGTGGGTGGAGGATGTGTGAGTTTGTGGGTGGAGGATGTGTGAGTTTGTGGGTGGAGGATGTGTGAGTTTGTGGGTGGAGGATGTGTGAGTTTGTGGGTGGAGGATGTGTGAGTTTGTGGGTGGAGGATGTGTGAGTTTGTGGGTGGAGGATGTGTGAGTTTGTGGGTGGAGGATGTGTGAGTTTGTGGGTGGAGGATGTGTGAGTTTGTGGGTGGAGGATGTGTGAGTTTGTGGGTGGAGGATGTGTGAGTTTGTGGGTGGAGGATGTGTGAGTTTGCGGGTGGGGGATGTATGAATCTGTGGATGGTGTATGTGTAATCTTTTGGATGGGGGTGTGTGAGTTGGAGGGTGGGGTGAGTTTGTGGTCAAATATGTTCTATTTAGATGTGCATGATTTTTTTTTGGTTTCTTTATAGGTTTTTATATAATACGTGTTTTATTTTCTGAGCTTTGGTTATTTTCTACTGTCATACACCACTTGATTAAACTTTTTATTTTCAGATTATTTTATGTTTGTGGGGCACTAATGATAGCCTTCACGTCAAAAGGTTGGTTTCAAATTTGTTAGGTAACCCGAAAACGTTAACATTAATTCGTTAAGTTAATAATAAAGTTATTGGACGTAATGTGTGCATAAGATAGCGGAAAATTAGTATTTTATACAGGAAACTGATTATTTTTTAAAAAGTTAATTAAACATCTAATTAAGTCACATTTTATGACAAAGAGCATTGTCCGGTAAAAATTATATTTTTTCGGGAATTTAGAAACATATTAAGTACTACTTCCTGTTACTGGAAATCCCTCAAAATCTCAAAAATAAGATCTTATTCCTATGAATAGAATTTCGTCCATCTAACTCAAACGGTATTTATGTTATTGTTAATTTACAATGCAGAAATGGATTATATACCACTTTCGAATATCGGAGGTCACTCAAAAATTGAATGTAATCCTAGTTTAACATCATATATATAAAATCTCATCTACCTAACTGAAACAGGACTCAAATTATCGTGTTTCCATGGAAATAGAGTAACGTAACACTTCGGTTACCGAAAATCTTTCAAGTGTTGACAGATACCTTCTGTTATTGTGTCTATGACTCGTTGGGAGTCTTTGGGCGAAATGAGTACATCGGGTACTTGGCTAAAATCAGGGGAAAGCCAGGCAAGGAATTATATTTGCAAAAAACCAGGCTAGGAATTATATTTTCAAAAACTAGGCTAGGAATTATATTTTCAAAAACTAGGCTAGGAATTATATTTGCAAAAAACCAGGCTAGGAATTATATTTGCAAAAAACCAGGCTAGGAATTATAAATGCAAAAAACCAGGCTAGGAATTATATTTGCAAAAACCCAGGCTAGGAATTATATTTGCAAAAAACCAGGCTAGGAATTGTATTTGCAAAAACCCAGGCTAGGAATTATATTTGCAAAAACCCAGGCTAGGAATTATATTTGCAAAAAACCAGGCTAGGAATTATAAATGCAAAAAACCAGGCTAGGAATTATATTTGCAAAAACCCAGGCTAGGAATTATATTTGCAAAAAACCAGGCTAAAAATTATATTTACAAAATGATACCTTTATATTCCGGGGCTATAAATAAATCTTACTTCGACTGCTCTGTTGATCGCGAGATCCCGAATATTCCTTTACTTTAATGTAGTTTATTGGGTTGAGATGCTCTAAACTTAATGTAAGATAGTGAAATAAAGATTGAATAGTAAAGTAACATATTTTGACCCTTGAAGGTATAATATTTTAAAAACCCATCCACTCCCTTGTCAAAGAGTTACCTTGGTTAGCTTACCCTGGGCTGACGTTCATTGGCTTTGGGGGTGTGGCCATGTTCTTCACCTGCATTCAAGTGGCCAACCTGTTCCCGCTGGGAGGATCTGTGGTCATTGGCTTTCTCAATGGAGGATTTGATACGTCGTCAGGCGTTCAGCTGATGGTCAAGGTGGGTTTTTAGCCTGTTTGGTTATAGTGGGTTCTAGATCTAGATAGTAAGTGTGAGCTATGTATATGGATGGTTATAGTGGGTTCTAGATCTAGATAGTAAGTGTGAGCTATGTAATTGGATGGTTATAGTGGGTTCTAGATCTAGATAGTAAGTGTGAGCTATGTAATTGGATGGTTATAGTGGGTTCTAGATCTAGATAGTAAGTGTGAGCTATGTGGGTTATAGTGGGTTCTAGATCTAGCTAGTAGTGGTGGAATCTAGATCTCAAAGGTGAAAATGGTGTCTAGTAGATAGGTTCTACACTTGGTTGTTGATAGCGGGTTCTAAGTCTAGATGATGATGTTGGGATCTAGATCTAGATGATGATGGTGGGATCTAGATCTGGATAATGATGGTGGGATCTAGATCTGGATGATGATGTTGGGATCTAGATCTGGATGATGATGGTGGGATCTAGATCTGGATAATGATGGTGGGATCTAGATCTGGATGATGATGTTGGGATCTAGATCTGGATGATGATGGTGGGATCTAGATCTGGATAATGATGGTGGGATCTAGATCTGGATGATGATGGTGGGATCTAGATCTGGATAATGATGGTGGGATCTAGATCTGGATGATGATGTTGGGATCTAGATCTGGATGATGATGGTGGGATCTAGATCTGGATAATGATGGTGGGATCTAGATCTAGATGATGATGCTGGGTAAACCAGTAAATTACACATTTATTTTAAAATATATGTGTTAAAAAAAACTGAGTACAGTATCGTATACAGAAGGTTTGTTAATCACACCTGCATTAGATCGCGGGTACTTCCATGTACGTTTCAGAAGCCATTATCGTTACAGCACGCTGTTTGCTCTCAAACACATAGGAAAATTAGAGCTATCTCAATAACTTATTTTAAAGTGACCAAAAACTTACCAAGACTGACCACGGCCTTTTATAAACTATACATTTTAAAAATGCTCGAATTAGATTGAATCCTTGGAGGTATGACACAAACTAAATATTTAGTAGATAGCAAAGTAGATAGCTCGGTTGCCGTAGGCACTTTGAAAAATATTATATTGTCAAAAATATAATATTAATCGGCTGAAAAGGGACACGCTTGGCCGCTCCATTTTACCTATTAAATAGACATACACTGGAACATAATTAAAAATAATTTAAACTTTTTATACCCCCCCCCCCTTTTTATACCCCCCCCCCATGTCCCGTTCTATTATAACTCTAAAAAATAACGGAACCAAACTTTAAGACACAAGTATTATTCCATTATAATTTAGACTAAACGGTTTTCAAATAACTGTGAAAATAAATAAAATTAATAAAAACTGGGGATATAATGTATTCAAAATTTTTTCGCAATACAGACTGTTTTTACTTCATAGTTTGGGTACGAGAATGGAATAAGCAGGCGGACGTCTTACGTCATCATCGCCTGCTGTCAGGTGTTCACCCTCATCTCCAGCTTGTTTTTTTATCCCAAGGATTTTATCCGCAAACAACAGAAGGAGCCAGTTATTGGTGAGTGACCTTTACAGCAACAGGACCTATTGGTTTTTGAGTGAGCCTTTACATCCCCATGTTCAAGCTGTTGATGAGTAACTTTTAAAGATTGTGATGAAATCTGTAATGGATGTGATAATCGTTGTAACTCATAACGTCTGTAATGTATATATAGAAGTCTGAAATGAATATGCTTATGTCATTAATAAATGAGAACAAAGTCTGTAATGGATGGGATAAGGTCTGAAAATGATGTGATAAGATTTGCTGCCAGACAGAAATTTCCTTGTATACACTTGTTTTTTATTAAATTGATTTAGTAATCACACACTGTATTATACGACCATTATAGTTTGCTCTAGTAGTATAAATAAACCTTTTATTATGCAAGAGGCCAGAGAAGAAAATACAGAATCACAAACAACTAAAGTGCAACAGACGGAAAGAGGTAAAAACTTGGAGCAACAAGTAGACACAGGCGGAGAAAAAGAAGAACAAGAAGATTCTGGAACCTTCCGGGGCCTGCTGAGACATTTATACTGCACGTGCTGTGGGTGTCTTGTCTTCAACTTCGGTTTTACTTCGTGCTGGGGTCGATCAACACCAGTCTACAGAAGATGGTCAGTACACAGTCTGAAGGTGAGTGGTCAACAGTCTACAGCCTGAAGGTGAGTGGTCAGTTCACAGTCTGAAGGTGAGTGGTCAACAGTCTACAGCCTGAAGGTGAGTGGTCAGTTCACAGTCTGAAGGTGACTGGTCAACACACAGTCTGAAGGTGAGTGGTCAAGTCTACAGCCTGAAGGTGAGTGGTCAGTTCACAGGCTGAAGGTGAGTGGTCAACAGTCTACAGAAGATGGTCAGTACACAGTCTGAAGGTGAGTGGTCAGTACACAATCTGAAGGTGAGTGGTCAACACCAGTCTACAGAAGGTGAGTGGTCAACTAGACTCATGTACACAATATCTGCCTCCCCAGTCAGCCACTACACTAGACTCAAGTACACAATATCTCCCTCCCCAGTATACCACTACACTAAACTCAAGTACACAATATCTATCTCCCCAGTCAGCCACTACACCAACGTGATGGTGTACACTATGATGAGTGGAATCTTCGTCTGCCCCCTAGCTGGATTTTTCTACTCCTGGCAGACTCAAATCTTTGCCAGTAAGGAATTTTTTTTTGACAGAACCATGTAAGACAAATTTAGTATGGGACCGGTTTAAGTCGTCTTAGGTCAAATTCACAACAAGTATATTACGAGTATACAAATGCTTAATACTTGTACTATTTATTTATTTATTTATGTATTCAATAACGGTAATAATAGTAGGCAGGGTTTTGTTTTTACGTTGGCCGTTTTAAAATAAACAAATAAATGACTACAGAAGTTTTGCTATGGCGCCTACGTTCGTTTAAGTGAGTGCAAAAGACTATGAATAAGTTGGGTTTTATAGTCGTTTACTAAGTTGAAACAGGCGGTTCTGCCGGCGCCCCATAAGGGTGCGATTTTGGCGCCCCGGCTAGACTGTGAGCACTTTGCGTTCGTGTTTGCATTTAAGTTGGTGTTTATGTTGGTGTTTACTTTTGCATTATTTTGAGTTATTGTTTGCGTTTAGGTTTGAGTTTGTGTTTCTAATTGTATTTTCGTTTGTGTTTGCGTTTGAGTTTTCTTTGAGTTTAGCTCTGGGTTTACGTTTGTGGTTGCGTTTGTGTCTGCGTTTGTATGTGCGTTTGGATTTTTTTTATTCTGCTTTCGTTTTGGTTGTTTGTGGTTAGGGTTAATTCGAAAAGTAATATATTATTAAACCCGGCAATGCCGGGTATATGCTGCTTCTTAAACACACAAGTCATGATCCTTTACAGATAGGGTTTTCACAGAGGCCAGTGCAGGGCCTGGCCGGGACGGCTAGTAATATAAGACACAAATAACAATCATAATTTCATCATCAATAACATAAAATAACCGCAGCATCCTTCAGACAGCCTATCCAGCGTACGACGTCAGGTGATGCCGTCAGTGCTCCCCCTAACGGCGACCACCGTGTCCAGCGTCATCATGTCCAGTCTCCTGCTGGTCAACGACCCCCGGGTGCTGTACGCCTTCTTCGTCTTCCTGGTGCTGCATCGGTCATTTCTATTCACAACGTACACCGCGTATGTGGTTGCGATGTAAGTGGGAACGTTTGAAAACAAACTTTTAATGAACTTGTCCTGTTATCGTCCGTCATTCCATCATCTTTCAATGTCAGTGGCGTCACTAGGTTGGGTATCACCCGTGTGGCACCTATTACTGTCACCCCTTTGGGTTTTTTTTATGTAAATTTTGCAGTTGGTGTCACCCTCCTCCCGGTAAAAGCTTTAAGGTGTTCACATGTAATCTAATGACCTTTATCTATCGTCGGTTATCAATTCAGCTGGGTGTAGCATTATTTCTCTATAGTTTTATGTTTATGTCATGGTGTCTCTCCCCCCCCCCCCCCCCCCCGGCCCCCACCCTTTTTTGTCAGGATCGTCAATATGTACTTAATATACTTTTTAGATATAATTAACCATTCCTTGCATTTTTTTGGTGTTGGTGTCTGTTATGAAACGAATCATCATGGTTGGTATATGTTGGTGGTGATGACTGCAGTGAGAGGCTCAAGTAAAACGCTAACACAATTTCAGCTAGGCAACTTTAATGGTTACTACTTTAGTCTTCAATAAACAGGAAATAATCTAGAACATTAATAGTGGCCAGCCTTAGGGGCCAGCCCTATCACACATTACAAAACACAAAACACGACTACGTGCTAGCAAGCTTTAACTGTCCTATCTTTCTGGGCCTTACCAGCTTGGTGTCTATGCCTCGAATACAATAGGGTGTCTCATTACGTGTTTCCCCAAATTTGCATACCAGGTTAGTTGGGTCGGGCTCAGGTCAAAGACCGGCGACCTTTACTTCCCCTAGCCTGCACATCGCTAGGTAGGACGAGGTGAGGGGGGTGGGGCGTTAACACGCTGTCCTAGTTCAGGTGTGGGACGGGTAGATACCAACTAGCAGTGGGACGGGGATGCATTGTATCCCAGGTCAGGTGTGGGACGGGAGGGGGTGGGGTGGATAACCAACTAGGCTAGCATCAATAATAGACTCAGTCATAACAATGTCATCCTCCTAAATTTGGTCCGCACCCCCATCGCGACTCATCATCTAGTAATGTTGTTCATCATCCATCAATGTTGTCCATTATCTACCAATGTATTACATCATCCATCAATGTTGTCCATTATCTACCAATGTATTACATCATCCATCAATGTTGTCCATCATCTATCAATGTTGTCCATCATATATCAATGTTGTCCATTATCTATAAATGTTGTCCATTGTCTACCAATGTTGTCCATCATCTATCAATGTTGTCCATCATCTATCAATGTTGTCCATTATCTACCAATGTTGTCCATCATCTATCAATGTTGTCCATCATCTATCAATGTTGTCCATCATATATCAATGTTGTCTATTATCTACCAATGTTGTCCATCATCCATCAATGTTGTCCATTATCTACCAATTTTGTCCATCATCCATCAATGTTGTCCATTATCTACCAATTTTGTCCATCATCCATCAATGTTGTCCATTATCTACCAATGTTCTCCATCATCCAACATTGTCGTCCATCATCCATCACTGTTGCCTATCATCTGTCACCAGCTTCCCTAGTTGTTATCTGGGCAGCTTGCTGGGGATCGCAGTCTTCACCGCTGGGGTCATCTCATTTTTTCAGTACGCCCTTTTTGCTTGGCTGGAGACTGGACTTATGCAGGTACAGTAGAGTTCATCTTAATTACAATAATTCTCAATTCAGTTACAATAAACATCGCGATTACAAAACGGTTTGATTCAAATAAGGTGATAAATTCGTCGTGGAAATAAAATTATTTTTTAACGAATATTTCATTAAAAGTATCTGAATACAAAAGGTAAAGTTGCGGCACCGCAGCCTTAAAATTTCGCTCAGGCCCAGATCTCGTATATAGAATACGCGGAAACATACGACAGCAAACTGGGGGGGGGGGGGGTGAAAGCTGACCAATGGCGATCATCTCTTTATATAAGCCGACTCAATAATGTCTACTTAGCATTGTACTATGCAAAGCGTCATTGTTTTATGTTGAAATCTCTAAGATGTGCAATTAATCAGGGGAAAAATTAACGAACTTGATCATTGACAATATTAATTTAACTTTTAAACAGGTGATTATAGTGAAATTTGTTTAGACCAATGATTAGAACAGTGGTTCGATCGAACCCCAATGGTTCGGTGAATTCAGCCTCAGTGGTTCGGCTGATTCGATCGGATTTTGTCAGTAGCACGATAGAACTATTAAAAAGGGTTCGGCGAATGCGCATATAAAACTGGTGGGGTTCGGTACCCCAAAAAAGGCGAAGAACCATTGGGCTAGAGTTAAAGGCCTACAACACGAGACACAAACATGTTGTAATGAACGCAAGAACAGTTTCCTTCTACATTTTTAAAATTAACAATTTAGTTTTAAACAGTATTTTCATTTTTTTTAAATAAAACCAATGCAAGGGGGGGGGGGGGGCGATAATATGTATCGATTACAATTTTGAATAAATATTTAAAGTAATGTTGGTTTTACTTTAAGTAGTGTGTGTTAGTCTTATAGACTTTGAATTAGGCTGGGGTTTTTTTTTGAGAGTCGTAATTTTGCTTTTTATAGAGGAAGTGAAAATACAATTTGGTTAAAATAACTCGAATTGTGTTTAGGGTTAGGTTAGGTCTAATCCATCTTTAATAATATCCTTATATATAATATTATATATGAATATAACAAATAAAATATATATAAATATATAGGCCAGGAAGAAAAATAGAATGAAGGGAAGCAACTAAACATTTTGTTGTTACTATTTGTTTATATGAATTACTTCCCTTGAATACTTATTTATGAGGGCTGTGACTAGGGCTGAGGATAGTCTAAAAGAATAATATTAATGATTTTTTTTAGAACAAATATTAAGAATTAAAACTGAATTAGTATATATCTACATTTTAGGTAGCAGTGTTTTTTGTTTTCTTCATAAGATTTTGTCATACTGAAGAGGAAATAAGCAAGTTGCTTATAACCTCTGACATCCTGTCGAGGAAATGTTCACTGTGCTTATTTCCTCGCAACATTGAGAAAATGAATGCGTTTTATCTTTGTCGTTCGCCGAAATAAGCACTATTTTCTTTTAAAGAAAACGTTTAAAATTGCACTTATTTATAAATAGCTACATTTAATTTGTAATAGACCGATAATAATTGTGTGCTAATATATATCTGGTTAAAACCCGTTTTCAGGTGTTAACTCATATTTATTGCTATTGTCACCACTTAAGTTCACTTTAGAACCAAACGGTCTGTGGGCCAGGTGAAGTAGAGTTAATTTGTTAAATTGATAGTGTGGTCAGCAAAATGTCCAGATACTTTACTTTAAGTAAGGTGCCCTTCTGGGCTGTGTGTAGAGGGACGTCATACGAGATATACTTTTGTCAGTTTCGTGTTATTTATCGAGACGCCCCGAAAACGCCATCACCAAAAGCTATTATAAAGTCTTGTTATTGTTGCCAATTATTAAACACACCATTATTTAAATAAAACTTAACATTGTTGCTAGTTAATACATGACACAATGACCAGTCACGTGATGTTGCAGGTAAACATCTTCCTGTTGGTGCTGGCGTGTGTCACATTAGTTCATCCCCTGTACCAGTGGTGGGCGTGTCGTCGGGCGGAGGTCAGGCAGCTCGTGGATTCGAACCAGCAGATTACGAGACAAGCGCCAAACTAAAATCTGAAGCCACACTGAGGTGAGGCCTGGAGCCACACTGAGGCCTGGAGCCACACTGAGGTGAGGACTGGAGCCACATTGAGGTGAGGCCTGGAGCCACACTGGGGCCTGGAGCCACACTGAGGTGAGGCCTGGAGCCACACTGAGGTGAGGCCTGGAGCCACACTGAGGCCTGGAGCCTCACTGAGGTGAGGCCTGGAGCCACACTGAGGCCTGGAGCCACACTGAGGCCTGGAGTTACACTGAGGTGAGGCCTGGAGCCACACTGAGGTGAGGACTGGAGCCACACTGAGGCCTGGAGCCACACTGAGGTGAGGCCTGGAGCCACACTGAGGTGAGGCCTGGAGCCACACTGAGGTGAGGCCTGGAGCCACACTGGGGTGAGGCCTGGAGCCACACTGAGGTGAGGCCTGGAGCCACACTGAGGTGAGGCCTGGAGCCACACTGGGGCCTGGAGCCACACTGAGGTGAGGCCTGGAGCCACACTGAGGTGAGGCCTGGAGCCACACTGGGGCCTGGAGCCAAACTGAGGCCTAGAGCCACACTGAGGTGAGGACTGGAGCCACACTGAGGTGAGGCCTGGAGCCACACTGGGGCCTGGAGCCAAACTGAGGCCTAGAGCCACACTGAGGTGAGGCCTAGAGCCACACTGAGGCCTGGAGCCACACTCAGGCCTGGAGCCACACTGGGGCCTGGAGCCACACTGAGGTGAGGACTGGAGCCACACTGAGGTGAGGCCTGGAGCCACACTGGGGCCTGGAGCCAAACTGAGGCCTAGAGCCACACTGAGGTGAGGCCTAGAGCCACACTGAGGCCTGGAGCCACACTCAGGCCTGGAGCCACACTCACCAATCACGGGGTCCTGGGAATGTTTGCAGGCGATGATGACGTAAGACGTCCGCCTGCTGATTCCATTCTCGTATCCAAACTATGAAAGTAAAAAATAACAGACAACAGCCTGACTTTAAATAAACGCGTGAAAACTTTCAAAACAAATGTTATAATGAGATTTTATCATCTCAAAGAAATCTATCAGAAACGTAAATGTTTTATTTTAACTCTCTCTCTCTCTCTCTCTCTGTCTGTCTGTCCGCAAAATATTTTCGCTGGATATCACGTCAGAATCTTCAGCGATATATGGAGAACTTGCTACGGACTTTTGTTGAAAATAATATGGTAGATGTTTTAAATGTATAACCACAATTTTATTTAAAGAAGAAAAATAAAAAATAAAGGCGTATTCGAATGTCGAAAAACAGTTTTAATTATGCAACAGGAAAAGCGTTTATAGTTGTGAAAAAGAATGCATAAGTTAGTGACGTCACTAATGTTTATACATTAACTAATGACGTCGTCTGTCGTGTTTAGAATAAAAAGAAATGAACTATTTCATTCAAATATTATTTAGATCTAGATCTACGTACGCTATAAAATTTATACAATACAATTTTGCTCGGTCTAAACTTTAAAAAAAATTCTATTAGGATTCTAGATCCAATCTAGATCTAGATATTCTAGATCATCTAGATCTAGATATTCTAGATCTAGATGATCTAGATCTACGGAAAAACTAGACTTACACAGGTGTAGACCCTACCTAGATCTAGAATCTATTCAAATAATACATTTCTATACTAAAGTATTTCAGGCCTTAATTACTTTATTGAAATCTTTGTTTATCTATGCAATTTGCTGATAGGTCACTTCCCGGCGCCGCAGGCGCTTTAAATTTGGCAGGATCTTGCCTTGGGGCGACAGAACACGGGGGCCGGTTGGCCGAAAAGTCTACGATGAGGGGGTCAAAACTGACCTCGACTGACCGGGGCCTTATATGAGCTATAAATCGAAAAAAAAATGTCCACGTAGGAACCTCTTCATAACTCGTGAGGTCGAAGACCGACCCTCGGGCAAATTAATGAAGCATTCAAATTCTCAATGTTTTCAAAAGCATAAGCGGAGCTGGGCAGCATGCCTAGTTCTATTATAAAAAGTTTAAGTAATTAAAAATGGATTACAAATATTGTCTATGTCCTGAGTTGCCATCCCTCGTAGTTTTATATTAGAATATCCGAGAAAGTTTAGGGGAGATCACTCCCGGTTAATTTTTACTGAACGAGTGTAATTTTTTTTTACTTCAGCACAAAGTTATGCTATCAGTTCAAAGGAAAACACGGGCATACAAGGAGCGTAATTTTAGTCGTCAGATATTTTCAGAGATAAGTAACGTCCACAATAGACTTTTACTCAGGAGTTTAACATACACAAGACATAACAGACACGTCACACATATAACAAACCTTGCTACTGATTATAAAAGTTATCCTTATACAACTAGTCCCTAGTAGTATAAAGATCACTCACCAATCACGGGGTCCTGGGTATTTTTGCGGATAAAATCCTTCGGATAAAAGAACAAACTGGAGATGAGTGTGAACACCTGACAGCAGGCGATGATGACGTAAGACGTCCGCCTGCTGATTCCATTCTCGTATCCAAACTATGAAAGTAAAAAATAACAGATAACAGCCTGACTTTAAATAAACTTGTGAAAACTTTCAAAACAAATGTTATAATCAGATTTTATCATCTCAAAGAAATCTATCAGAAACGTAAATGTATTATTTAACTTTATTTTTATGAGGTTTTATTTAGTTCACAAAGTCTCTCTGTTTGTTTGTGAGTAGGTTTGATTGATTTTTGTGGGTTTGTGGTAAAATTTTGTAGCTGAATTGTGACAAGCTTCTAATACACTGATTTCGTTCAAACTATCCAGATACAAATACAAAGCAAATTGGTCAGATGCTGATTAGAATACTTGTTGGTGTCGCAAGCGCTTCAAATTTGGTATGAACTCACATGAGGCAAAGAGCATACGGAGACAAATGCCGATGGCCACATATTTCACGACGAGTGGGTTAAAACTAGCCGCGACTGACGTACGCCTTATGAGCTATCTATCGAAAACATTCACCACGTCAAAAAACCCTGAAAATTCCAGAGGTCGTAGATCGACCGCAGGTGGTAACAAAAAAACAACGGTGTTCCAATCGGGAAAACTCCGGAAGGCCGCTAGAATGAGCAGTCCGTATTCCTTATAAAAACGTAATGTTTATGAAAAACAAATTTTCACAACGATTTTAAGGGTGCTTAGTACATCTGGCTTAATTTTACAAGGCCCTATGTAATTGATTTGGCAATACGGGAAATCTATCGATCAGTCTCTACCCACTCGCCTAGAGCTAAACAATGACTACAAGTGAAACTGTCCTTATATTAGAAATATATCGAAAATAGTAAATTAAATAATGTAGATATGCGAATACTGACGTTTTAGTAATTATATATAAAACCCTAAACATGAACATAAACAAACATAAAAAACATTAAAAAAACATAAACAAAACGTTATATATATATATATATATATATATATATATATATATATATATATATATATATATATATATAAAGTGGCTCGCCCAGGACAGGGTGTAATGGCGGAGATTTGTTGCTGCCCTATACTCCATAGGGAGTGATGAGGATTAAGTAAGTAAGTATATATATATATATATATATATATATATATATATATATATATATATATATATATATATATATATATACATAGTGTCTCTGGTTGGAAATAAACTTCCGCGATTTTCATGAAGGTAACAATGGTTCTTTGGTGTTGTTGTTTTGTTACCGCCGAGCGTCGTTCTACGACCTTCATAAATTATCAGCGGGTTTTTACTTGGGGAATTTTTTTTATATATTACTATAAGTTCATGCAAAAATTTAGCCATATATGCAGAGCTTAATTTTCTTAAACATTTTGAAAATTCCATTATTTTTTACATGAATGTACAACAATTATATTTGAAGGTACTCCCAGGTCAGCTTTCACCCCTTTAACAAATTTCCCCAGAGGCGACTCGTTTGTTTTTTTGTTTTTTTGCGGAACCTGAGCATTGGTCTACGAGCCCTTACAAAATATCTGTGGGTGTTGACGATAATTTTTTTGTTCAATATATAGGTAGGCTTTTATAAGGAGACGGTCGCTCGAGGTGACTCGGTGAGGGCGTAGAGTCTGACCGACAATTTTACCTTAAAATGCTTATAATTAGAATGGTTTTTTTTATATTTGTTTTTTAAGATTATATTTTCTTTGGAAATCTACGGACTTTAATACATTTTGAATGTTTATTTAAAACAACTTTTCAATTCCGCAGTGGTAAAATGTAGGTGTTATAAATAGTTAACTTCACATCCTAACCTTGAACCCACATTCACCTTTCAGATCTAAAATCCACATTCAGCAATTAGATCAACAAACCCTGCTCCGTTACCCTGGCCTAGAACCCACCTTGACCATCAGCTGAACGCCTGACGACGTGTCAAATCCTCCATTGAGAAAGCCAATGACCACAGATCCTCCCAGCGGGAACAGGTTGGCCACTTGCATGCAGGTGATGATCATGGTTACACCACCAAAGCCGATCAACATCAGCCCAGGGTATGCTATCCAAGGTAACTCTTTGAAAGGGGGTCGGAGAAATTTTTAAAATGTTCAACTGTCACAATATTTTCCTTAACTATTTAATCTTTCGTTGCCGATCTAACAATAAAGGTTAGCTTTATTTTAACCAAATAATGGACATAAAATAACGTAGTATTTTACGATGAATAGAGCTGTTAAAGTAGAACTAATATGTGTTCTTGGTCCTTGTTACGAGTAATGAAACTCCCAGCCGCCAGTGTTTTCCCTTACTATAGTAAAGTGCACACTGGTATGGGTTGCCTTAGTGGCTCCTTATACGTCTTATACACACTAAAAATGTGTGAGCAAGATTGCCAGACTACACCAACCTACAGTCTAAGTGTGCCAAAACTACCAGCAACTTAAATAATATATTATTTAAGTTTTCGCCTTCCACAACAAATTTGAAACGAACCTTTGGTCGTGAATGCCAACATTAGCGCCCCACAAACATAAAATGATCTGAAAATAAATAATTTATCTCTTGAGGGTTAAAATACTCTCAAACTAAAAATAATAAAACACGTATAAAACTTGTTTTACAAATAATAAAATCATTAAACTATGAATTAAACTGGGGTACAAGATTTGGTCACATACTCACACATTCACCAAACACACTATTTCACACAATCACACACACACCCTACCCATAAGCCCATACATCAACCAACCCACACACAAACACACATCCCCCTGACAAAATAACTTACACACCACCCACTTATGAACATTATGACTATAGAATATTTTTTTAAAAGACGTTTTAATCTCTTCAGCCAACGTGTACTAACGATACGGTCTAGTGGATCTGGTTTTTTTTTTTTAAGTAGAAATATCCGAACGTCGGTCATGGAGGTAGAAGTATTGGTGAAGTCTTCCGTGTACACTTCGCCAAATCTACTTGAGCTTATATCATAAAAAAATAAATATCGTGTCAATATCCTTTTCAACTCAAGCGCCTTGCATTAGTTTATGGATGTGCGAAACCTGGTCTATTCAATCATTTGAAAGGCATTGACATCAAAACGTAACCTCCAACCAATCATCCTCGCATGAATGTCACTAGGCAGGAATTAGGTGCGGTATAACATTTCACGTACACTCAAATAACTACAAGTTCTCGCATATTTTCGCGTTGAAAGTGGACTTGCAAAAAACTGAAACATTAAAGCTATTAGAGCATTTGGTACATATGTAGAGTCGATGTAAAGAGATGAAA